GCATCTAAAACTGAAAAAGATACATACTAAAAATGCTGTACTTGTGTAAAAAAAATATATTGCAACTTCTGTGAAGTTAAACCTGAGAGATTCAAATGGAGGCCATACTTGGATGCATATTGAAACTATACCTAAGCAATGCATATGGAAGATATACCAAAGAGATGCATATGGAGGCTACAGTGGGGATCGAAAGTTTGGGCACCCCAGCTAAAAGTTTGTATTAATGTGCATAAAGAAGCCAAGGAAAAATGGAAAAATCTCCGAAAGGCATCAAATTACAGATTAGACATTCTTATAATATGTCAACAAAAGTTAGATTTTATTTCCATCATTTATACTTTCAAAATAACAGAAAACAAAAAAATGGCGTCTGCAAAAGTTTGGGCACCCTGCAGAATTTATAGCATGCACTGCCCCCTTTGCAAAGCTGAGACCTGCCAGTGTCATGGATTGTTCTCAGTGATCGTCTGGGAAGACCAGGTTATGTCAATCTCAAAGGATTTAAATGCCCAGACTTATCTGACCTTGCCCCAACAATCAGGACCATTGGTTCTTCTAAGCAGTTGTCTAGAAAACTGAAACTGAAAATAGTTGATGCTCACAAAGCTGGAGAAGGCTATAAGAAGATAGCAAAGCGTTTTCAGATGTCAATATCCTGTGTTCGGAATGTAATTAAGAAATGGCAGTCATCAGGAACAGTGGAAGTTAAAGCAAGATCTGGAAGACCAAGAAAAATATCAGACAGAACAGCTGGCAGGATTGTGAGAAAACCAATTCAAAACCCACGTTTGACTGCACGATCCCTCCAGAAAGATCTGGCAGACACTGGAGTTGTGGTACACTATTCCACTATAAAGAGATACTTGTACAAATATGGTCTTCATGGAAGAGTCATCAGAAGAAAACCTCTTCTACGTCCTCACCACAAAAATCATCGTTTGAACTTTGCAAATGAACATATAGACAAGCCTGATGCATTTTGTAAACAAGTTCTGTGGACCGATGAGGTTAAAAATTGAACTTTTTGGCGGATTAGCAAAGGTACGTTTGGAGGAGAAGGGGCACAGAATTTAATGAAAAGAACCTGCGTCCAACTGTTAAGCATGGGGTTGGATCAATCATGCTTTGGGGTTGTGTTGCAGCCAGTGGCACAGGGAACATCTCATGAGTAGAAGGAAAAATGGATTCAATAAAATTTCAGCAAATTTTGGATGGTAACTTGATGCCATCTGTGAAAAAGCTGAAGTTAAAGAGAGGATGGCTTCTACAAATGGATAATGATCCTAAACACACCTCGAAATCCACAGGGGATTACATCAAGAGGCGTAAACTGAAGGTTTTGCCATGGCCTTCACAATCTCCTGACCTCAACATAATTGAAAATCTATGGATAGACCTTAAAAGAGCAGTGCGTGACAGACAGCCCAGAAATCTCAAAGAACTGGAAGACTTTTGTAAGGAAGAATGGGCAAAGATACCTCAAACAAGAATTGAAAGACTCTTGGCTGGCTACAAAAAGCATTTACAAGCTGTGATACTTGCCAAAGGGGGCAGTACAAGATATTAACTCTGCAGGGTGCCCAAACTTTTGCAGATGCCATTTTTTTGTTTTCTGTTATTTTGAAAGTGTAAATGATGGAAATAAAATCTAACTTTTGTTGACATATTATAAGAATGTCTAATCTGTAATTTGATGCCTTTTGGAGATTTTTCCATCTTTCCTTGGCTTCTTTATGCACATTAATACAAATTTTTAGCTGGGGTGCCCAAACTTTCGATCCCCACTGTATACTTGGAAAATACCATGTTGCAACCTTAGGGAGAAGAGTGCTGATAACATTTTGAAGACCCTCAAAGACATTTTCAAAATAGTGTTTTGGAACATAAATAAGACATGAAAGTGATCTATGCATATCATACCTTCAGTTAAAATAAGAACCTTGGATGTAGTAAAAATTGATCCTGTGTGAATCTGTGTTATTGGAAAATACATTGACATTTATGTGAAAGTTATACTGTACTGTGTAGGGAAGTGAGTTGCTGGATCAGGAGAGTTACTGGTCATTAACTCTAATGATCCAGCAATCAGTTTCCCTACACAGGTAGACATTCTTCTCTCAATGTACTTGTTTTTGCTTATCTGCTGGTCAGTACATCTTGAACATAAATGTCTATGTGTTGGTATTATATGACAAATGATATAACGGTATGTACTGACCATGTAGCATCTGATAATAGTAATTACAAAATGAACCTATTGCACACTATCACTTACAATCTAATACTGTATTTCTTTTTCTCTTTATTCCTATGAATATGTACATGTACAGTATGTACACTCACCAGCCTCTTTATTAGGTACACCTTGCCAGTACTGGGTTGGACCCCCTTTTGACTTCAGAACTGCCTTAATTCTTTGTGGCATAGATTCAACAAGGTGTTGGAAACATTCTTCAGAGGTTTAAGTCCATATTGACATGTGTTACTGTTGCCTTTCTATTATCTCAAACCAGTCTGCCCATTCTCCTCTGACATCAGCAAGGCATTGTTGTCCACAAAACTGTCACTCACTGGGTATTTTCTCTTTTTCAGACCATTCTCTGTAAAACATGAGATGGTTGTGCTTGAAAATCCCAGCAGATCAGCAGTTTTTAAAATACTCAGGTCAGCCTGTCTGGCACCAACAACCATACCACGTTTAAAGTCACTTAAATCCCCTTTCTTCCCTATTCTGATGCTTGGTTTGAACTTCAGCAAGTCGTCTTTACCACTTATTCATGCCTAAATGCATTGAGTTGCAGCCATGTGATTGGCTGATTAGCAGTTTGTGTTACCAAGCAATTGAACAGGTGTACCTAATAAAGTGGCCGGTGAGTGTATACAGTATATGTGTGTAGTTATATATCCTTGTATATGTATGTTATTAATGATTTTCTATGATTGTTAGATTATGATTATATCGGGTGCATTTACATATACAATATATTGTGTTTTGTTTAAAAAATTCACTTTTTTTTTTAATAACAAACTAATAACTTAATTTGGACTCTTTTATCCTTTTGGTTTTTGGTGCTTCTTCCATTAATGCATGTTGTTTTTCTTGTAGCCTGTTGGAGTACCCACCAGTATGTAGCCTTGTCTGTTGTGTGCAGCCTAACCTGAGTCAGTGAGCCCTCTGAATGTCTTTGTCCTCTGACTACTTAGCATGAACTCACATCAAAGTGCCAGCACCTCCCGGATGCTTTTTTTCTACATACAGTAGCAGGTCTGTAAAAATACCAATCCAAAGCCAATAAATAAGGCCAGAAGTCTAGTTGAGGTTATCAACAAAAAGTAAACTGATTTAGTAATAAGTAAACAGGCAAAGACAAAGTCAGAAAAACTTGCATAGGTATGAAATATGAGTCAGAAGACTGAAGTCTCACATCTACAGGCAGTTGAAAATTTGACATTCTGGCCATCATAAGCAGCAGAACTACAAATGTTGTATTAGCTAACAAAAGAGGGATTGAAGGTGCAGGTTTATGCTTAGTATATCTTTGTGCACAGACTTCCAAGCTGTCCAAGGCTATCTTTAGTATTAGTCACAACATGGTGACCAAAAAAAAGTGGTTGTAAAGGTTCCAAGATGTTTTTATCTTCTTGCATTCTATGCATGAAGGTAAAAAACCTCCTGGGTGCAGCAGTCCCACCTGCCCCCCTAATACTTTGGTGTCAGGTAGAGATTCTGCCTTCCCACAGTACTGATGTGATTTCTTACTTCTTCCCTTGCTCCCCTGCCCCCCACATGAGTGGCTCAAGCAGCATGGAGCCAGCCCCCAGCCAGCTTAGATGGCACCTCTTCTCCTGCCTGGAAAGCCCTCACTTTTACCTTTGGAATGCAGCCTACATGACTTGATCCCAGAATCAGGTGCCAGTTCCAGTGCTAAAGGACATGTATTATCAACATACAGACTACCCAGCTTTGAAGCTTAGCTCAGTTAATCCACTACCCTGCTGGGATCCTTGAAGGCGTTCCTGGCTTCCCTCACAACCAAGTAGGACTGAGGCAGATTAAGCCAGTCCTGAGGGAAGAACTTAAAGTGGTACAAGACTCCTGTTTTCAAGTCATCCTGGTGAAACTGTGAATATGAATATGCTAATACCAATATTCCCAAAAGTATATATTACACAAATATATATAAAAAAAAAAAAAGTTGCTTCTGACGTCATGATGATCCTTTGGTCCTTTGGTTGAAGCAGAATTTGTGATAATACCCTCGCTGGTAGGTGTAAAGGCATATTACATTTGCTTTATTTATATTTTACTTAAGATAATGCACTGTGTGATTTTTCTTTTTATGTTGAGGTTTCTTTGTGAGCCATTGAAAGGCTGAATATGAAGACTGATGATTGAAGTTGGCACGGAGTGACTTTTTATAATATTCTATTTATTTTTATATTATTATATTTATTAATGTTATTTCTTATCTATTTTTGGACTTTTTTTTTTTTAATATATATTGTGTAATATATACTTTTGGGAATATTGGTATTAGCATATTCATAGTTTTTACACTTTTTGGGGGAAAGAGTATCTTTATGCTATTTATAGCCTTATTGTATTGAATTATTTAAGGGATACCGTAAAATTCACATATATTATTCTGGTGAAACTGAGTAAAGAGTTGTTGATCAACTTGTGGCACTATGCAGGAGGGAGGGGCCAAGAAAGCTATCGGGGGACCCAAGAAGAGGAGGATCTGGGCTTCTCTGTGCAAAACCACTGCATAGAGCAGATGAGTGTATCATGTTTGTTATTTTAAAAAATTCCTTTAAAAACCACCTCCCACCCGCCATATAGTAATATGACGGGTGCAAGGCGGTTCTCTCGTTCTGGGAGGACGTCATATGACGTCCTCCCATTCTCACTGCACATGTGCGGCTCAGGGAGCGCACAGCGCGGCGATCGGCGGTGCACTGTGTCCTTCGGACACAGCGGATCACCGATCACGGAAAGAGCCAAAGATGTCGGCTCGGTCATGTGATCAGCTGTGTCCAATCCAGCTGATCACATGTAAATAGGGAAATGCCAGTTATCGGCATTTCTCTCCTCTCGAGCGGTCACGCTGACAGCTCGAGAGGAGAAGAGAGCCGGTAATTGGCTTTCCGTGGAGGGCACAAGTACACTGATCATCAGGGCACTGATGATCAGTGTGCCCTGAGGATCAGTGTAGCCCCAGCAGTGCCACCTGTCAGTGTCCATCAGTGCCTTATGTCAGTGCTCATCAGGCCTCGTGCCAGTGCCCATCAGTGCCACATCAGTGCCTACCAGTGCACATCAATGCCACATATCAGTGCCCATCAGAGCTGCCTTTCAGTGTCACCCATCAGTGCCAGTCAGTGCCAACCTATCAATGCCAATCAGTGCCGCCTATCAGTGCTGCCAATCAGTGCCAGTCAGTGCCACCTATCAGTGCCAGTCAGTGTCGCCTGTCAGTGCCGCCTAACAGTGCCAGTCAGTGCCACCTATCAGTGCCAGTCAGTGCTGGCCATAAGTGCCAGTAAGTGCCGCCTATCAGTGCTGACTATCGGTGCCATATATCAGTGCCATGTATCAGTGCTGCCTTTCAGTGCCCATCAGTGATGCCTGTCAATGCCCATCAGTGCCACCTACCAGTGCCTCCTCATCAGTGCCCATCAGTGCAGCCTGATTAGTGCACATCAGTGAAGGAGAAAAATCACTTATTTACAAAATTGTATAACAAAAACTAAGAAACATTTTTTTTTTCAAAATTTTCAGTGGATTTTAGTTTGTTTAAGAAAAAAAAAAAAAAACCCAGAGGTGATTAAATACCACCAAAATAAAGCTCTATCTGTTTCAGAATAATGATACAAATTTCATATGGGTACAGTGTTGTTTGACCGCGCAATTGTCATTCAAAGTGTGACAGCGCTGAAAGCTGGAAATTGGCCTGGGCAGGAAGGGGGTATAAGTGCCCTGTAGGCTAGTGGTTAATATAACTTTAAGCACAGGGGCTGATCTGGCTGATGTTTCCCGCACACAGAGACCATTGCATGAAATACTTTTTGTTATGCACATATAGGTATCAGGATATCAGTTTTTTCATGATACTTGAGGCTGTTTTAAAATAGTAGTTATTTAATAAAATGTTCTGTGAATGCACAGGGATCCAATTCACATGCACGATACATTGTACTTTAACAGCAAAAAATTGTATTCCTTCACTTGAGTTTTTTTTTGTTTCCCCTTAATGTTGTTTAGCTCTGTTTACCCTCTAGGGAATTAGCTGCAGCCAAATACAATTTCTTGTATACAAATTATTTCAATATGTTTCATATTTTGCACAGGTATACTGTATATTTCAGATGTTTACTTTTCCAAATAATTAAGAGAAATATGTTTTTATTGCATTACTCAGCCAAACTGTCATTATATTATGTATATCATTTTATATACGGTTTATTGTTAACTTGAGCCAAAACATGGAAATTTGATGGCTAGCAATTCTTAAAACATTAGTAACACAGTTAGGGTTTCCAAGTTCACTGGGGATTAAAAATACTTTTCATAAACTGATCATCTGAGCATTTAAATGGCTATCTTTCTAAGCAAACTAGCTCTTCAAACTGAAGTAATTAAATCTCATGTGATGAAAATTCTCTTGATAAAGTAGGCAACATGAAAAAGCATCTCACTTTGCATCCATGATTTAGGTATATACTTTGTGTATGCTTTTTTATGTATAGCTGGGCCTGTGTCTGGATCAGTAACAGACACAGAGCTCCACTTCGTCTCAAACGCCCTGGTGGTCCATCAAGGCCCATTGAGTCCATCAACTCACATTTCATCAGTCCATAAAACCTTTGAAAACTCTGTCTTCAGATATTTCTTCGCCTAGTCTTGACATTTCAAATTATGTGTCTTGTTCAGTGGTGGTCGGGTTTCAGCCCTCTTTACCTTGGCCATGTCTCTGAGCACTGAACACCTTATATTTCTGGGCACTCCAGGTAGGTTGCAGTTTTGGAATATGACAGCACTGGAATATAATGGGTTCCTGGTAGCTCCATGTTTGATTCTTCTCTTTGGCAGTTAAGTTGTGTCTTTTTTTTCTCAACAGGTTTCATGCAACCCTGTTGACTATTTGCAACAAAACGTTTGATGATTCTGTGATCACATAGTTAGTTAGTCAAAACAAAAGTCCATCCAGTTCAACCTTGAAACAAACAAAAAAAAAGTTATAATCCTACACTCACAGTTGATCCAGAGAAAGGCAAGAAGCCCAGCAAAGCATGATCCAATTTGCTCCTGCAGGGGAAAAAATTCCTTCCTGATTCCCCGAGAGGCGATTGGATATTCCCTGGATCAACTTTACCTAAAAATAGTCACCAGTTATATTCTGTATATCCAAGAAAGAATCCATTCCTTTTTTAACCACTTGCCGCCCTGCCACTGTAGAAATACGGCTGCAGGGCGGCACTGGCAGGCAAAACCACGTTTTAAAATGTGTGTTTTGTAAACAGATAGGGGGCGCGCGCAAGGCGCGCCGCCGCCCTATCTGTCCCGCCGATAGCTGCCGCGGATGTCAGTCGCCGGGTCACAGCCAGTCCTTAGCGGCTGTTTCCCGGCGATCGGCGGTAAACCGTGACAGAGAGCACAGCTGCAGTAGCTGTGCTGTCTGTCACTTCCTTGTCAGCACGAGGACGAGCTGATCGAGACAGAAGAGTTTCTCTCTCTCGATCAGCCTTGTCCCATCCAGCCCACACCCCCGCCCCCTAGTAAAACACTCCCCTCACTCAGATAACCCTTCCCTGCAAAATAAAGTTAACCCCTTCCTCCCCATTGCCATTAGTACAGTGTCAGTGTTTTTCTTTTTGCACTGATCACTGTATTAGTGTTTTTGGGGATGTCAGTGACCCCAAGTCAGTACCCCCCAATGTCAGAATGTCCGCCGCAGTCCCGCAGTCCTGCCATAAGTCGCTGGTCACTGCCATAAGTCACTGATCGCCGCCACAATTCACTGATCGCCGCCATTATTAGTATAAAAAAAACCCTAAAAATCCCAGTATCTTTCCCGCTATTTGTAAACACTATAACTTTCACGTAAACCAATTAATTTACACGTATTGGGTTTTTTTTTAGCAAAGACATGTCGCAGAATGCATTTTGGCAGAAATTTATGACTAAATTTGATTTTTGCATTTTTTTTTTTTTACTGGACATGTTTTATAGCAAAAAGTCCAAAATATTTGTTTTTTTTTCCTCAAAATTGTCAGCCTTTTTTTTATAGCGCAAAAAATAAAAACCGCACAGGCGATCAAATACCACCAAAAGAAAGCTCAATTTGTGGGGAAAGGATGTAAATTTCATTTATGTACCGTATCGCATGACTGCGCAATTGTCCGTTAAACTAGCGCAGCGCTGTATAGCAGAAAAATGGCGTAAATTTCAGTATTTATACCATAGTTTGTAGATGCTATAACTTCAACACAAAGCAATCAATATACACTCATTGGGATTTTTTTTAACAAAAACATGTAGCAGAATACATTTTGGCCTAAATTTATAACCAACTTTGAGTTTACGATATATTTTTTATAGCTGAAAGTAGAAAATATTGTTTTGTTTCAAAATTGTTGTGTTTTTTTTTTTTTATAGAGCAAAAAATAAAAAACACACAGATGATCAAATACCACGAAAGAAAGCTCTATTTGTGTGAAAAAAAGGACGTAAATTTCGTTTGGGTGCAGCATTGCATGACCGCGCAATTATCAGTTGAATTAGGGCAGCGCCAAGTAGCAAAAAGAGGCCTGTCATTAAGGGGGGTAAATCCTCTGGAGGTCAAGTGGTTAAATCAATCCACTGAGCTGGCCAGAACCAACTCTTGAGGGAGTCTATGCCACATGTTCACAGCTCTTAGTATGAAGAAGCCTTTCCATATTGGAGATTGCATTTCTTTTCCTCCAGATGTAAAGAGTGTCCCCTTGTCCTCTGTGATGACCTCAGGGTGAATAGCTCTACACCGAGTTCACTATATGAACCACAGATGTTTTTATACATGTTGATCATATCTCCCCTTAATCTTGTTCTTCATGCCCCAATATATTAACAATTTCAAGAGTGCTGCATCCCTTCAAAAAATACTTTTTTTTTTTACAATTTTTGACTTTTCAGAGTCAATTAAATCCATTTTTTGGCCCATTTTGCCTGAGGAAAAAAAGCTGCCTAATAATTATGCACACCTTGACATAAGGTGTTGATCTCCTTAGGTCTCACCCTCCCTCATTAACAAAATACATGTCATCAGATACGCTTAAATCCAATAAGAATTCAAGTTTATACAGCTTGGAGTTGGACAATATGTATAAAATAATTTGTTTAAAAAAAAAATCACTTGCCTAATAATTTACATGGTGTAAAGATAAAGAAAGAGATATTGCTGGCAGATAATGGAAAACAATACTATTACTTATATTCATTTTTTCATACCCATGGAACATCAAAGCTAAACGTCAGTCAGTGTCTGAATTTAACCTTTTGCCTCCTTTCTCCTTTATATTTTTAGTTTTCATTTACCCTGTCCTTGTTCTGAGTAGTTTCATAGCTCACATGACATTCTCTACCCACAGCAGCCAGGTGAAAGGATAAACAGGAATTCCTACAGCATTTCTGGTGAATTAGGGCCTCTGTTTTCACAGCAAGCACCACTGCACAGCACTGGTAAAGGTTCATGATACCAGATAATAAAAATATCACACAATAAGAAACTGCACACGAGCATTCAGGTGACCAGCTGCACAGTGATTGTGGTTCATTCATACAGCCCTTGCCACTCCATCTATCAGTGGATCACTTTTCAGAAGGTGTTTGGCAGCAGTAAGAAAGTTATATGTCTTCACTGCCTGTTTTAACCCTTAAAATTATGACCTGCCATGCCACAACTGCTTGAATTGCATGTGGTTGTAGGGCAGGAGTAGTGTGGCTCTATTCACTGGAGTGGGTCACATTTGACCATGGTTCTATGAAAGCAACATTTATTTATTTTATTTATTACAGGTACTTATAGAGTGCTGTCAATTTACGCAGCACTTTACATATATATTGTACATTCACATCAGTCCCTAACCCTCAAGGGGCATACAATCTAAGGTCCCTAACTCACATTCATACATACTAGGGCCAATTTAGACAGGGGCCAATTAACCTACCAGCATGTCTTTGGAGTGTGAGAGGAAACCGGATTACCCAGAGGAAACCCACACAGCACACAGGGAGAACATGCAAACTTCCAGGCAGGTGTGCCGTGGTTGGGATTTGAACCAATGACCCTAGTACTGCCAGGCAGAAGTGCTAACCATTTAGCCACTGTTCTGCCCACCATTTAGCCACTGTGCTGCCCAACATGCTGTTTAAGTTCTGCCATGGCTGCAGAATGTGTACAACCTTGAGTAGCTGCATGCCAATGTTTAAGTGGGTGATCAGGGGGCAGTAAAACCAGTGCTGAACCACTTGCGTTTACCACCTCTGAGCCATCCATGTAAAGGAGCCCTTACAGAGCCAGCTTGGGTGACTGGTTGTCTGTACAATATATGGGCTGTTTGTCACACTGTGAAGGCTGAATACTACCAAAGTGCACCACATACTTAAGCAAATACATAATAACCTGAAAGATTTCAGCAAAATGAGGTGAGAGGTACATTTCTGGATTTACAGTATCTGTCTGTGGCTGGAGACCAGCAGGATAAAGAACAGAAGGAAGTGAAATGAACAGAGACTTGTGAAAGGCAAATGTTGGTGGCATTAAATTTACAAGACAATGGTTTGATTTGCTAAAACTGTAGAATGCAAAATCTGGTGCAGCTGTACATGGTAGCCAATCAGCTTCTAAATTTAGCTTGTTCAATTAAGCTTTGACAAGAAAGCCAACTGGCTACCATGCAGAGCTGCACTCGACTTTGCACTATCCAGCTTTAGTAAATCAACCTCAGTGTGTATAAACTGAAAACATACAGCTGATGTCACACAAAAAAGACATGCAACTACAAGATAAACACTGCTCAATGAAATTAAAGGAACACGTATTAATCAGAGAATAGCATCAAGTCAATTAAACTCCTGGGATATTGATCTGGTCAGTTAAGTAGCAGAGGGGGTTGGTAATCAGCTGCTTTGGTGGCAATGAAATTAACAACAGGTGCACTAGATGGGCAAAAATAGATGACCCCCAAAACAGAAATGGTTTTACAGGTGGAGGCCACTGACATTGTTTCCTTACTCATCTTTTCTGAATGTTTTTCACTAGTTTTGCATTTGGCTAGGGTCAGTGTCACTACTGATAGCATGAGGTGATACCTGGACCCTATAGAGGTTGCACAGGCAGTCCAAATCCTGCAGGATGGCACATCAATACGTAACATTGCCAGAAGTTTTGCTGTGTCTCCCAGCACAGTCTCAAGAGCATGGAGGAGACAGGCAGTTATTCTAGGAGAGCATGGACAGGGCCATAGAAGGTCCTTAAACCCATCAGCAGGACCGGTATCTGCTCCTTTTTGCAAGGAGGGAAAACAGGATGAGCACTGCCAGAGCCCTACAAAATGACCTCCAACAGGACTGGTGTGAATGTCTCTGACCAAAACAATCAGAAACAGACTTTCATGAGGGTGGTCCGTTTATAGTGTGCCCTGTGCTCACTGCCCAGCACCATAGAGCTTGATTGAATTTGCCATTCAGAATTGGCAGGTCCGTCACTGGGCGCCCTTTGCAGCTATAACAGCTTCAAGGAAGGCTGTCCACAAGGTGTAGGAGTGTGTCTATGGGAAATGTTTTCATTCTTCCAGGAGCGCATTTGTAACAGGCACTGATGTTGGGCGAAAAGAAGGCCTGGCTCTCAGTCTCCACTCTAATTCATCCCAAAGGTGTTGTATCTGGTTGAGGTCAGGAACTCTGTGCAGGTCAAGTTCCTCCATCCCAAACTCACTCATCCATGTCTTTATGAAACTTGGGTTTGTGCAGCAATCATTTTGGAACAGGAAGGGCCATCCTCAAACTGTCCCCAAAAGGTTGGGAGCATGAAAATTGTCCAAAATGTCTTGGTATGCTGATGCCCTAAGAGTTCTCATCACTGGAACGAAGGGGCCAAGCCCAACCCATGAAAACAACCCCACACCTAATGCCTCCACCAAATTTACACTTGGCACAATGCAGTCAGGCAAGTACCATACTCCTGGCAACTGCCAAACCCAGACATGTCCATCGGATTGCCAGACAGAGAAGCGTGATTCGTCATTCCAGAGAACATGTCTGCACTACTCTAGAGTCCAGTGGTGGCATGCTTTACACTACTGCATCCGATGCTTTGCATTGCACTTGGTGATATAAAGCATAGGTACAGCTGCTCAGCCATGGAAAACCCATTCCATAAAGCTTTTCTATGCCTGTTGTTTGTTCTAATCTGAAGGCCATACAAAGTTTTGGAGGTCTTTAGGCTATTGACTCTGCAGACAGTTGGTGACTTCTGCACACTGTGCACTTCAGCATGCGCTGACCCCGCTCTTTCATTTTATGTGGCCTACCACTTCATGGCTGAGTTGCTGTTGTGTTCCCATTTGCATCCACATTGTTATAATACCACTGACAGTCAAACCGTGGAATATTTAGTAGCAGGGAAATTTCACGGATGGACTTATTGTACAGGTGGCAACCTATCATGGTACACGCTTGAATTCACTGAGCCCCTGAGAGCGACCCATTCTTTCACAAATGTTTGTAAAAGCAGTCTGCATGCCTAGGTGCTTAATTTTATACACCAGTGACATGGAGGTGATTGGAACACCCAAATACAATTATTTGGAAGGGTGTCCCAATACTTTTGGTAATATAGTGTGCATATACGTATATATTTTTTGTGTTGATTTTTTTTTTTGCCCAGACATACACTTTATGAAGTAATTTCTCTCATCCCTATGTCTTTTTTTTTTTGTCTTTCTTTGTATATAATCTAGATCAGTGAACCACATGAATGTTGTAAACTGTTTCAGTATACTTTACATTTTCAATTGTTTAAAAAATATAAAAGAAACAATCAAGCTTTGACTCGTGAGTCAATGCCATGTGTAAGGCTGTAGTTTTATGTCTTTCAATAAATGTTTCCCATTGTCTTCATGATTACCTCTGCAGGAAGCCATATGTATGAGTATTAGCACAAATTGCAACAGAATGGCGCATCGAAAAAAGAGCTTTGCAGAGTACACTTGATGCCAGAGGTTATTATTGAAGGAAAATGGGTTTGAAGCCTATTTCACACATACTGTGATACTGTTATCATAAATAATGTGTTGTTACCATGTTTATGAAACATTCCTGTAACAACAATTATTGTTAAATGCATTTTGGCTGTTTCCATAGATGTTTCCTATCAACTATTCAGAAAATGACAGCTATTAGAGTTTCTAATATGTAGTAAAATGCAAAAATACGGAATAATTAAATACAAGTAACTGAAAGAAAATAGAAATATGTTCAAATTCCCCTGAGTGCTTGTTTAAGTGATAAGCAGTGTAGAGGATTAACATAGAGGATTACAATAAAAAAGGGATAAATAGCTCAACTGAGCGTTCTATTAAATTAAATGACTGTATTAGCAAGTTTTACTAGATTAACAGTAGTGATGAGTTGAACACTCCTGTGTTTGTTCAATCTAATGAACGTTCAATTGTGAACTTCAAACTCAATGCTGATCTATGAGACTCAAACTTACAAATCCAGACATGCCCATTTTGAAGGCTTATATACAGGGGCAGACTGACAACTCATGGCGCCCCCAGGCAATAGGGGATCATGGGGCCCCTGTGTCCTTGCCCAAACTCAAAAAAGCCTATGAAAAAAGATACCAGGGGCATCTCATGGGGCCCCTCTACTGACCCTGGGCCCTCGGGCAGTGCCCGAGTTTCCAAATGGTCAGTCCGCCCCTGCTTATATGCAAGTTATTGCCCATAAAAAGGACATGGAGACATTAGTGAAAAAAAAATGTCAAAAAGTACCGTTCTTAAAGGGTCAGCCATTTTTCATTAATTAAAGTAAAAATTAAAAAAAAAAAACCTTTCCTTTAAATATCATACCTGGGGGGTCCCCTTAAACTACCTGCAAAGCTGCACATCTGTACAATATATAGAATATGCTGCAGCAGGACTGACATTTAAAAAAAAGACATTTATATATTTTTTAAAAAAAATCCCTACCAGACCCTTTATATCTGGTAGGAAGGTTAGGAGGGACCCCGCAATAAAAAATTCACAAAAAAGTGCATGGGGTTCCCCCTAAAAAGCCTTACCAGGCCTTAGGCACTGGTGGGACTTTTAAGGGGAACCCCACCACCAATTAAATAAGGGAAAAGGCGTGGGGTCCCCTCTAAATTCCTACTGTTGATCTGAGCACAGGCCTGGCAGGACAGGAAGAAGGGAGGGGGGGGCAATTAAACACCCTCCATCCCTGTGGCTTACCAGGCCACGTTTCCTCAGCATTGGGAAGGTGTCCCCATGCCAGTAGGGACAAGGGCCTCTTCCCCATAACCATGGACTGGTGGTCTGGGTGGTGGGGGGGGGGTCATTAGCATCAGGGAGCCTTTTTAAATGGGGCACCCTGATGCTGCCCCCACTTGTGAATGAGTAAGGGGTACTTGTACCCCTACTCATTTACTAAAGGGTTAAATTCAGTAACAAATAAAGAGACCAGTCTTTTGAAAAATTAATTTGTTTATTGAACAAAACAACAGTTTTTGACAAGTCCTGAAGCCTCCCTGGCGGTCTGATTATGTCAGTATTTCTGTCTGTGCCCAAAGTGGTACATGGAAATATGTATTATTTTTTTTTTGCATGGAAATCTGTCCAAACAAGAGTCTAGTAAACATCCCTGGTATGTTAAAATTTGAAACACAAAATCATAAATTATAATTTAATAAATAATCATAAAAAATAATAATATAATAATAAAAAAATGTATTCAATAATATAATCAAACCAAAAACACTGAAATTTGAAATATAGTGCCAAGTTCGCACATCGCTGAGCAAAGTCACAAAATCGTTTTCAGTGTCTGATGACAAATTTCCCAACGAATCATTATCGCTCAATTCTGCAAGTGGTTCTGATTTACTATCGCTGTTCTCTAGTCGGTCTAAAACCGCTTTTGACCAAAGGGACGCTTTTTGGAAGCAATGGACGTTTCTCATTTTCCAGGCGGAAAGAAGAGTAAAAATGCAGGCAGGGCACAGGGAAAAGCACTCGGGACAAAATGTATGTGACATGGTTTGATACAGGAATGTTATACTATGTGATTTTAGTGTATTTAGTGAATGTCACTTTTTCACATTTCCCACCATTTCGTCCCCATACGTCCTGACGTCGCAGGGAACCCGCAGGGAACCCAGAAGACGGATGCCGGCATCGGCCGGATTACATTGCCGGGGAAACTGCAGGGGGGACATCGCGGGAGCGAAGGACAAGGTAAGTGAAGAAGAGATCGGGGAGCAGCACTGCAAGGTATTCCCGAGTGTAGCTCGGGGTTACCGCTTGTGGTGCTGAAACTTTACCCCGAGCTACACTCGGGAATACCGCCAATTAAAAAAGAAAAAAAAGCCTAAAAAATGGTTCCATCATTGTACTCTATCGTTAATCACGGTGTCCAGCATTGTTACGACGACGACTCGCCAAAATGTAAAAAAAACGCAGACCCATCTGCCCCCTAGTAATAGGACAGATCTGATATTTGCCGGCCAATGTAAACAAATAGGCAGGGCTAGTGGTGATATCACTGCCATTGTCACCAATAGCTTCACCCAATTTAAAATATATATATATCACCTAACCCCAAGAACCCCTCAAAAAGTCACGCTTTCTCCCCAGAAAGCAACAATATTACAACCTTTTTGGAATTACAAATAAATTCAAATAAATGAATATAATAATAAAGTACAAAAAATTGAAAAATAATCATAAAATTCAAAAAATACAAAATAAAAATAAATAAAAAAGTCCAAAGCAAAATGTCCCAAAATGTCCCAATACAAACACAAATAGTGTCAAACAAAAATGGTGTCCGAAAATTGTCCAAATATCCAAATTTTATCCAGTCAGAAGAAATTCCCTTTCATCCCGTAATACCTCGAAAAAAACAAAATCAGAAATCTAGTGCATTACCTTTTATAAAAATAAAAATAATATATTCCCTCCGTGCAAAAATACAACACAAAAACACAAAAAGTGTGCAAACACTATATATGTGTATTTTTCCGTGCACTTGTGAATGAATTGTGACCACTCAGTGAACACTGCAATACTGTGTATCCACCAGCACCAATAGTACTAGATACTATTACCCTCTGTATCCATATACCAGCATCCACATGAGATCTTCTAAATGCTCCAATGAAATTATTCCAAGGTCCTCAAAAGACAAGAAGGGCTCAAGGCTCATATTCAAAGTGTATTAAAAAGATTTAATGAGAACTTACATTAAAATTTCCTTATTTCGGCTTCCAACATGCTTCCTGTGTGAGTCCTAACAAACAGATGCAATATGCCATGTGTGATAACCCACAAAATGGCCGCGGCGACACTTCCGGTCTGCGTGCGTGCGTCACTACGTCACACCCTTAACGCGTTTCGTCACTTCCGGACTTCGTCTGAAGGGATACGGGACGTCCCACACCACTCTCCTTATATTTTGGAAGCCGAAATAAGGAAATTTTAATGTAAGTTCTCATTAAATCTTTTTAATACACTTTGAATATGAGCCTTGAGACCCTTCTTGTCTTTTGAGGACCTTGGAATAATTTCATTGGAGCATTTAGAAGATCTCATGTGGATGCTGGTATATTACATCAGGGTAATAGTATCCAGTACATTGGTGCTGTGGATACACAGTATTGCAGTGTTCACTGAGTGGTCACAATTCATTCACAAGTGGAAAAAAACATTTATAGTGTTTGCACACTTTTTGTGTTTTTGTGTTGTATTTTTGCACGGAGGGAATATATTATTTTTAATAAAAGGTAATGCACTAGATTTCTGATTTTGTTTTTTTCCGGGATATTTCTTCTGACTGGATAAAATTTGGATATTTGGACAATTTTCGGACAGGGCTATTTGTGTTTGTATTGGGATATGGGACATTTTGCTTTGGACTTTTTTATTTATTTTTATTTTGTATTTTTTGAATATGATTATTTTTTTCAATTTTTTGTACTTTATTATTATATTCATTTATTTGAATTTATTTGTAATTCCAAATAGCTTCACCCAATTGTTTACATCTTACAAAGGGAGCAAGGAGAAGTGTGCACTTCTATGTGTGCACTAATTATTAATATTATTAATTATTAACATGGCGGGTTAAGAGTTGGAGGCAGACATGCAACCATTAACCAAAACAGCGCATCTGACCTACAGTATATGAACGTGTAGGTCTAGCCATAAGGTGAGCAAGCATTGCACTTACAGGGGCCGATCATGAAAATGATCCAAACTCTCGAAACTTATGTAGCTTTTAGATCAAATATGCCATCTGGATTGACACAGTCCCCTTAGGAATTTACAAAAAAAAATTATTTGCCGCAGAATTTTTTGGCTGAACTCAAAGTACACAGGATGAAACTCATTTACAAAGATTTTGCATCTATCTCAGCTTCTAGGCTCATTATAGCATATAACACCATTTTAGAAGGGCTCCATATAGTAGTTATGCCTAAGGAAGGCAAGGACTCCTTTACAAGTACACATTGTCACCCGATATCCCTTTCAAACATAGATCTAACATTTTTCACTAATGATCTAAGAGACTACTGCCAATCCTGCAAACTATTATTCTTGTAGACCAAGTTGACTTTATGCCCCACAGAGTGGCTAAGGGCAACACCATATAAGTCCTAAATGCTGTCCATGTTGCCCTCTCACATAATATTCCCATATGTATTCTCTCTACCAATGCCAAAAAATCTTTTGATAGAGTGGATTGGGCATTCCTGAAAGACAATCAATTTGTTTTCCAATTGATCTCTTCTGATAGCAATAATTGATGTATAGTGCACAAACCATTTTATCAACATGCCATGTGTAATCTGATTCATTAAGGAAATGGATGCCGTTCTACTGACCCAAGGGTTTTGTGATCATGTTGCGGTGGGCGTGGTGAAATGCATCAAAGGGCATGACCAGAGCGGTGGCTGAGGCCATCCCTTACATCTGACTCTTGGGGTCAGTAGAGCGACATCCATTTCCTTATTGAATTGGCTGATGCTGGAATCGCTTTTAAACACTTGCTCCCTCTCTCTCATCTGCAGGTGGGGTGACTTCTTCCTCCTATCTCCAGCTTGGAGCCACGCCGTAAGGTATTTTTATTGTTATGTGTAATCTGATTGCTTGAAATATGATCATATTCATGAAGAAAGTATCTCAGTGCAGCCAAATGATGAAAAATGATCAATAATTTTCTACCCTGACTGATTAACTCAGATTGATGAAATTCAATCTAAATTGACTTTGAAAAATGAGAAGAGAATTTTTGAATATTGTTTATACATATGCCAGGAATGTGTAGTGCGCTAACTCCTCATTGAACAATTCGAATACAATTAAATAAACCTCCAATAATCCCATACAACATAAATTTACACTAAATAAAGTCCAAATCCCAGATCCAAAAATGTCCAAATTAATGCGCTTAGCAATCACTTGCCAAAAGACGTGCTCGTGCTCAAGATACTCTCCCTGCTCACCTTTAAGTTCAACCTACAAATTATAATAGGTCAAATGTGTTTTTTACAAGAGTAAATCCTTTCATGTGGCGATGAATCCAAATGTCTTCACTCAATTACGGCTTCAAAAATGTGTATAAAAAAACAAAAAATATATTGTAGTGCAAGGTTTAAAATAAACTAAACGTTGACTGCACTCACATTAAAGCAAAACACACCGTGCTCCACAAACAGTGTTGTAAGTGTTCACTTTATCCAACATATACAAAGGTGCTTCCCATTACCAATGAGTGTGCCATGCACTCACCTTCTACCTTGACCCATATCCCATATAGGTCATAAACACAATAGACGTTGGTTAATATTTTGCTTGTCCACCGCTATTCCCTTAGTGGCTATTTCCTTACTACTGGCCCTTTAAGAGACACACTAGAGAGCTGAACCTTTCCTCTTGCCCCCCTGATGCCTGCTCACAATGATGACATCAGGGGCCTGATCTGAAAGAGTACCGCTCTGTCTGGCAATGCACAGTGCTGGGGTCACTGCATTGGCTATCCCAGTTTCTGAATCGGCTTCCCCCTAAGCTTCCAGTTGTTGTTACCGGAGAGACTCCAGTACCGTGCCTGTCTGACCAGCATGGCTTGGGTTCTTTCTTGGATACACAGAATATAGCTGGTTACTAACATTTATAGGTAAAGTTGATCCAGGGAATATCAGATTGCCTCTGGGGATCAGGAAGACATTTTTTCCCCTGCAGGAGCAAATTGGATCATGATTTGCTGGTTTTTGTTCTCTGGATCAACTGTGGGTATAGGATTATAACTTCACACTCCTACTAAATATATTTAAATGATACATTCAGTTAAAAAAAAAATAATAAATGCACTTTTTTGCAGGTGAAAAAAATGTGCATTTAAAAAAATGTGCATTTATTTACTGTTTTAGCCCTGTAAAGCATTGCACCGGCGATCAGCAGATCTCTAGTGCCGTACAGGTCTCCAGACTGTCAGTTTAGTCTGTGTGCTCGTGCGACTGCAGCAGACAGCGACTGCAGCAGCAGTGGGAACATGTTACATGTTACACCCTAAAAACCACTTGCCCTCCAGAGGATTTACCCCCCTTCCTGACCAAGTCATTTTTTGCGATACGGCGCTGTGTTTATTTAACAGACAATTGCAAGGTCAACCAATGCTGCACCCAAATGAAATGTATGTCCTTTATTTCACACAAATGGAGTTTTCTTTTGGTGGTATTTGATAGCCTGTGTGTTTTTTATTTTTTGCGCTATAAGCAAAAATACCTGACAATTTTGAAAAAAAAAAACAATATTTTTGACTTTTTGCTATAAAACATATCCAGTAAAAAAAAATGTAAAAAATTAAATTTCATTAGAAATTTAGGCTAAATGTATTCTACTAAATGTCTTTGCTAAAAAAAATCCCAATATGTGTAAATTAATTGGTTTACGTAAAAGTTATAGCGTCTACAAATGGCAGTATATATACTGGAATTGTTTTTTTATTTTAAACTAGTAATGGCAGCGGTCACCGACTTATAGCAGGACTGTGGGACTGCGGCAGGCATTTTGACACTGGGTAGGAACTGACTAACTTCCACTGACATCCCCACTAACACTAATACAGCGATAAGTGCTAATAAAAAGCACTGCAACTGTACTAATGACACTGGGCAGGAAGGGGTTAACATCTGGGGCGATCAAAGGGTTAACTGTGTGCTGTTTTACTATTTTGTCTGTGTGTTCTTTAC